AGATTTCACATTCGTATGAAATCCAGTTTCTATGAGGGTGCTACACGTTTCATTTCTGACAAATCTCTTCTAAGCCACAGCAATTTGAGAAAGTGATGTCATCCACTGGGCTATATTTTACATAAAGTACACTTTATAGTTCTCTGTGAAAAGTATAGAAATTTTCTGACTAGCTTCCATCAATGAAAGCAACATACCTATGGGATGAACACAAACCTTAAGTTTGGGGGAAGTCCAAGGAACCACCTTCATGAGTGTCCATGTGTCATTAAACCCGAGGTATAAAATCTACTGGAAGGGGATGTATTCGGGAGTCATTATCAAGATCTAGAGCTAACAGTATTTCCTAAAGCAGCAGAGCTCAATCAGCTCCCTAAGAGTTCACTTTATAACCTGCTTCAACGCCTTCCGTCAGCATGATCACACGTTTGCCTTTTCTCCCTCTCACCTTTCTCAGTGCAGGACCAGCTTCTGTCACTGTTGCCACAATGGCATTTCTAAGTGAGGCGCTGCCCCGGATCACCACCCTTCCTTCAGTCAGCAGAACCAACCAGGAGCCCAATTAGTCTGCTATTTGTCACACTCCACTTCATATCTTCTGCTTACGGAGCATTTGTGCAATGATTTCCTAAGTTACATGAATCACCTGGATAAGTTCTGTGAAAATTGTGGCTAGATAATAAAAAGAGACTGCAAGGGATCTTAACAGCAACCCTGCCACAAATGGGAAAACTTTAGAGTGGGGAGCAGACGTTTTCCCATTCCTCTAGTTATACCATGTGTAACAACTTTTAAAAGATAAAAAAAGGTCTCAATTTTAGGGGAGGCATCTTCTCATTTAAAAACCAACAAGCAAAACTCTTTAAGTCCATTAAAAAATAAGGACCTGAAGATTTAGAATGAATAAAACTACAGAAAGCTTTAAGGAAATAATGAAAATAGAAGTCAGGTTTGCCAGAGAACATTCTTTTTCTAAACTGCCCCAGTAATCTTCCTTGCTGTTTTGATATTTAAATATTGTTTCCTGACTGCTGTGGCTCAGTTGGTTGAGTGTTGTCCTGTACACTGAAAGGTCACGGGTTCAATCCCTGGTCAGGATGCATACGGGAGGCAACTGATGGATGTTTCTCTCTCACATCAATGTTAAATATATGTAAAAAATATAAACATTATTGTACCCACTTGGGCAAGATTTAAAGAGACTCACCTAGGGGGTCTTCGTGAGGCAAACGAGACAGGCTGCAGGGGGTCTTGCATTTTGAAATCTGCAGTCATAGGCATTCTAGCTGACGTGCCACCTGAAATGCTACGTAAGAAATGACTTACTGCTCCCGGCCGGCGTGGCTCAGCGGTGGAGCGTCGACCTAGGATCCAGGCGATCGGGGTTCAATTCCTGGTCAGGGCACAGGCCCGCGTTGCGGGCTTGATCTCCAGTCGGGGCGTGCAGGAGGCGGCCGGTCAACGACTCATCATTGATGTTTCTATCTCTCTCTCTATCCGTCTCCTTTCCTCTCCCTGAAATCAATAAAGACATATTTTTAAAAAATGAATTATTCTTTAAATGGACTCTGCCCCGACATAGAGTATTAAGAACACTTAGAATTTAGGTTGAATAAAAAAAAAAAA